TACAGGTAACTAACGTAGCACCATCAGACAACTAACCTAGCAGCAAATATAAATAACCTAGCAACATTATACACTAACCTTGCAGTATCAGACAGCTAAATCGAAAAAGTTATTACAAACAAAAACAACAGCAAAAATACTCACCAATTTAAGACGAGAATCTGCGAGAATAGACTACGAAGGATAAAACGGAAACAGATAGTAACGCCCGAGAAATCGAAATCGAAATCGAAAATGGAAGAGAATGGAACAGAAACAACGAGCAAGTGCGAAAATGGAGAGGGAAAGTAGAGTAGAGAGTTCTGAAGACGTACCGCCCGCGAAATCAGAAAAATATTGATTAATGTACTAAATTAATTCTGAACGTTAGATTAGATGAGTGATGAACGGACCAGATCAGGTCTCACGTCCTCACTTTTAAAAACGGGGCGCATCTGAACCATTCCCTATATATATATCTATATATATATCGGGTTCCATTTGCATAGACCATCCACGCAAGATTTTCTCTTCAGTGCAAAGAGTTTTCATTTTCTTCAACCAAAGCTTCCTTTTATGAAAATATGAAATCTTAATGTTCGCTAATTAATGATTTCGAGCAGCATCAGTATTTTTTCTTTTCTTATTGGTTCGATTATTTTCTCGCCGAGTAGCAGTAACCGGCGAATTTTTAGAACAAGCATTTCCTGCGAGTTTCTTTCTTCTTCTCATGAGTCGTTAGTTGAAAATAATATGAGCATTTAATTAGAGGAACCCGAAGTTCACGTAAAAATAGTAGAAGATGAGCGAATTGTCGAGGACGAGTTCGAGTGTTCAAGGCTTCGTTTTCTCGATTCTTTCAGTTTCTCGTTTATTCGAGAGGAGGTACAACTTTANTTTTTATAAATTTCGAGTTTAGTTTGAAGGATTAATTAAAGTTATTATAATTATGAGATAAATATATGAATTAAGAAAAATTCATAAGATGAGTTATTTAAGTGATATTGAGCTGAAATTCGAGCAGTAAGTACTCGAGTATATATGCTATTTAACTGTCAAGTTTTATGATTTTTAGAGTTGCGTGTGATTTTTTTAAAAAAAAAATTATAGATTTTTGAGAATTAGTTTAATTAAATTTTAATTGAATTAAATTATGAAATTTGGTTGGGATAAAATCCTTTAGTAGATATAGTCATATATAAGTTGATTAACCAGAATACATATCAGTTTGATTAAGTTTAACTGGTTCAGCCGACAGTTCAAGTTATTTTTTGTTTGAATATTTCGGTCCGAATCTTATTCCAAAATTTAAGTATTGTTCTGAGTCAAACGAGTCTAGTCTAAGTATATCAGTTTTATTTCCGAACTTAGTATCATTTTAGAGAACCGTTAGATTGTTCCATTATATCCGGATAAGTTATCATATAGAGTCGAGCATCTTAGCATCTTATTGAGTGTTACGAGCATAGTACTTAGTATATTTGTTTATATTTGATGTAACTTGCAGATACATTTACCAGCACAACACTTATTGTTTTTCAAATCATTTCAAAGACAAAAGGTGGGGACCCTGAACGGGTATCACATTGAGTACGATATTGATGTCATATGGGATGAGGAGACCATCAGTTGTCTCAGAGTATATCCTAAAGTTTAAGTTTATTACGCTTGGGATGAGGAGGCATTAATTTGTTCTCAGAGATTATATCCTAAGTTCTGATGGAGGCCGCCGAGTTGCCTTAGAAATATCCATCAGAGTGTGCACACGTATCCGATTAACTATTGGCAAGAGAAGAGAAAAGTTTAAGTTACCGATAGAAATCGGTTTTTGATTATCCTTATTCGTTACTCACCCCCATGAGTTTTAGTTTCAGGTAACAGGTCGAAGATAAGGTGTGAGTGGAGCAGTGTTGGTGTGGATCGTGGATTCAGATGACGACAAGCTTTAATATGGACATTTATAACAGTCTGTATAATTAACCACGTTTTCAAGTATTTCCGCTATGCACATTAAGTATTGAACTTGCATTTTTATTAAGTTTCAGATTTAAAGTTATTATCATTTTGAGAATTATGAATATGGTATATTTTAATGCAAGTTTAAAGGAAATCTGTTTTTCTTTATGTCTAGAGAAGTATTAGACAAGAGTTTAAAGATAAACGGATTTTCAAGAAGATGATGTTGAGTAGCATTCCGAGTTATTCGCAAAAGATTTCAAAAGATTTATAAGAAATTTCGAAGTAAAAGATGCGAAAAAGTTACTCTGATAAGCGGGGTGTTACAAAGATAGCTTAATGGGGATTTCGCATTTGCAGAGCAGGTCGATCCCAGACCCATGGGTCTGGTCGAAGATCGACCTGCGGCACAAACGGTCGCTTGATCGACCATTTACTAGACTCGGAGCAGTCAACAGGTCGACCAAGATTTGGTCGAGCATTAGAGCCTTCGAGGAGATCTCAGAGGAATCAAATCCCCACGTGCGGGAGACACGTGGCGTGACATGTTTGGTCCATATAGCATAACCGTCTCTAACACACCTCCAGTGTGTGTTGTACGACCAAGCGGGCTGGGCAGCTTTGGGTAGCCACCTCAGCTCATCCAGGCAGCCTTCTAAAAGCAAGTACCTCACCTCTATATATAGGGGTGAGCTTTACGATTTCAGCACAATTTTTACTATTACACTCTTGAGAATTGAGTAGAGCTTATATTGACTTAAACATCGGAGGCTATTCACCGAAAAACCTCTCCGGTGTGGGAGTTTTTGTAGGTACTCAGCATCCTACCTGCAAGAAAGACAAAGGGGGTCGATTTCTAGTCGATCGACTTGTTTGACGTACCATTTTGGCACTGTCTGCGGGAATTTCGTTCGAAAGGTTGTGTGTGGAGGTTTGGTGATGTTCAGCTATGGCGGAAGAGATTTACTAGATTCAACTTGGTAACGGATTTATTAACTTGATTAACTGTTTTTTAGTCTGTAATTATTTGTTCTTGTAAACTCTATCATTCCAAAAAGATAAATAAATAAATAAATAAACTTGTTATTATGTCGAAGGTAGAAAGCTTATGGGTGTTTCTAAATTCCAATACTTGGAAGAGGCTATTTTTTATATTTGGAGACTAACCTTGGTAGATAGTCTCAATAATAAATTAACCATTGCACCAAAATTGTTAGGTGCATGTTTAGTAAGCACCATAATTGATGAAGATAAGGATGTTTAGAATTTTGAATCTAATTATTTGTTTCCCTCTTTATTATTATTATTATTATTATTATTATTATTATATTATTATTATTATTATTATTATTAGTGGAATTCTTGTCTGGTTGGACAAGTTAGTATTGTTAGGATTCTTGTCTTATTGGACAAATTAGTATTAGGGTTTTAGGAGCCTTATTTAAAGGACTCCTCATTTGTGTTATTTAGTTGATTATTGAAATGAAATAAGATTTGGTATCGTGTTTTGGTGTTCTTGAGATTGCGATCTCATTAATATCGTTCCACTGGTACGCTTTCCTACATCAGTTGGTATTAAAAGTCAGCACGATTCACGATGTTGTCGCGACGACAAGATGCTGCAAACGACAGGCGTGTCGCCATCTACAACCTGAGCCGCCGGACCAAGTGGTTTGGCAGCCAGCTCAAGACGATGGGTCGTGAGATTGCAGATCTGTCCGCAGAGATCGGGGACATACGTCTAACTATCCGTACCATGGTTCAGGACAAACAAACGAACCGCGACGTGGCCGCCGGGGCGGTCGCGGGGGTTATCGCGGAAGTCGTGGTGGAAGAGGGCCTGGCGGGGTGCCCCGTCAGCGTACGCTACCACCGATGCACGGCGAGGACGACGGCGAAGAAACATTATCGGAGGTCAACCCCTTCGGCTTCCGACAGGTGCAGCAAGACGATAATTGGAAGTCATTGTTCCAAGTCGAAATTCTCGAATTTTCAAGGGCCTTTGTGGACACACGAGGGTCGACTGAATATGAGGGTTCGCCTCGTTTTGATGACGAGGGATCGACCGAATATACGAGTCCACCTATTTTTGATATCGAGGGGTCGAGCGATTATGAGGGTCCACTCGTTTTTTATGAGAAGCCACTTGTGGCGTCGATGGAGGACGAGTACCATGTGGTTGTAGAATCATTTGTGAGGCCAGAGGTTGTGCCTGCAATGGATGTTTTCAGTGAATTGGCAGATGAATTTTCAGGGTCTTTTATTTAACAAGCATATGTGTCTGACAACTCTCATAGTTTGCCCAAAAAGGACAAAGTGGAGAGTTGCTGTCATAGTTTTTTGCTTGTGAGTATACCAAGTTCATGGCTTGTCAAATTGGCCCGATCGGGATTGTGGAGCAGTTGAAGACGAGATTGCTTCAGATTCGAGGGCGAATCCTTTTCGACAGGGGGAGAATGATGGAGATAAGAATGTTTAGAATCTTCAATCTAATTATTTGTTTCCCTCTTTATTGTTGTTATTATTATTATTATTATTATTATTATTATTATTATTATTATTATTATTATTATTATTATTATTATTATTAGTGGGATTCTTGTCTTGTTGGACAAGTTAGTATTAGGGTTTTAGGAGCCTTATTTAAAGGACTCCACCTCATTTGTGTTATTTAGTTGATTATGAATAAGAATATCTGAATATGAATTGATACATGTTTTGGGTGTTCTTGAGATTGTGATCTCTTTAATATCGTCTCACTCGTACGCTTCCCTACATCAATAATCTAATAGGTTGCTTACACAACTAATAAGAGGGGTCGGTGATTACATGTGGGAAATTTAAAGGCTCTTTGGTATCTTGACCATTGCATGAAATGAGCTAGCAACAAAACACAATATAAATGATTCCGTTACTTTCTAAATTGCAACAGTAAGGATGTTGACAAAACTTTGTAGAGTGACTCGTTCGTCGTTAGCCAATTGAGGCGTGATTTGTATTTCTCAGTTGTATAACAATATTTGATTATATACCTGCATTTCTGAAGAGGTACAAGAATCTATATAGTGCCAACACTAAAACTTATAACACCACAAGCTCACGACTTCTATTTAGTATTCAATACACAAGTCAAAGAACAATTTCTGATACCACTAGCTCACGACTTCTATTCAGCATCCAATATACAAGTCAAAGAACATATTCTGAAACTTTCACTACCTTGATTTCCTATTCTACATAATTTGATCAAGAAAATGTTGGTCGAACAACAGATAATAACTTTAAAAAGCTACATCACAGATTCAATTCGAAGGGTCCATGCAGACTGATTTCAGAATTATCAATATTTGAAATTATCCAGACATAATTAGACCCATTGCTGATAAGAGGTCGAGATACATCCCCACCATCTTCCCTTCTTACTTGTCTTTTCCTTTTTCATGAGNCATCAAATAATTGGTCATTGCTCACTACTAGACAAACTAGAAGAAGTACAAAAGATCCAATATGAAACAGAAATTACATGGTATCCAGATTATAGGTACTTGTGAGCAAAGAAAGCAAGTTACTCATCATCTTTATATGGATACTCCTCAGGGACTTGTTTGAGAAGTTTGACCTGCAACTCGAATACATCATCCCCTCTAAGCATGTCACGCATCCATGTGACCTCAGTTTTCATCGACACCTTATATAAGGGAATGAAGAGTAAAGGTTATGTTACAGTGGACGAAGACAAATGAGCACTGGACTAAGACAAACGTTAAAACCAACTACGATTTTGTCTTGTTCTTGCTAAACTCTTTTCATCAAAGCTTAATGGGGATAAATAATCTTGATAGGAATATCGTTTTAAGGTTTGGGGAAAAAAAAGATCTCTTTAAGTTTTAACAAGCAATAACATCATACTCACACTGACATAGATCAAGATTCGTATTTTTTATGAAACTGATATGTTGGAGCCTTTATGGTGGATAGTTACGGATCAGGTTAAATGAGGTTGTTGGATTTTCACGTCCGCAGTTCTAAAGATTTATACTCAAGCTATACATATACTAGGAATATCATAAATGATATGTGGGCATATTAAGAGTTTAGCAATAGCGGAACAGAACTCAAAAACTATATGCTGAAAAAAAGAAAACACCCTCCCTGATATATTTCAGAAAAATAAAATTTTCTTTTCCCAAAAAGGTATGCTGGAAGTTAAATTGGAGAAAAACATATTTCACAACAGAATAACAGATCCGCAAAGGTTATGCAGGGGAGAAAGCTCACCATCTCAAGAGCTCCTCTGACAACACCGCTCAATATATTGCAATAGTGAAGACCTTGACAGGTATCAGGAAGCTCAACAAAATCCACCAAAGGATTATCCTCCAAAATTAGACTGCAAGTTGTCCCTTCTGAGTCCCAGTTAGTTACAGATGCTGTGACCCCTAAGAACATCTTGAAACCAACCTATTCAAGTAAATTATAATACTTAAGCTACAGAAACTCAAACTAGTAATGAAAACACACAACACAGAGTTTTCAGCCAAGAGTTCTTTGAGAGCTTCAAAGAGACTCGTTAGCCAGTGCAATCGACATGGACACTCACAAGCATCCACAAATTATTAGCTATGCTAATAGCAGATTGTCACATGTCATTCAAAATGGTCTTTAAACCAGCACAGTATGGGGAAATATTAACTACACTAACAAAGAAACCACCTAAAAATTTTCTTTACTGCATTCCTGTCTTCCAATTTAACCACAAGAACCATAAATAGGCCAAAAAAAAAAAAAAATTGCTAGAGAACAGCTAACAATAATCATACAAGAGAATTCAGTTTCAATCAACTCAATAAACATTGAGATATTAGAATTTAGAGGTGAGGAGAAAGAAAATACCTTTGCAATTACTTCAGCCGTTTCCCTGAAGTCAACACACCTCGACACATTAGATTTTGCTAGGAACTCGTCAACTAGCCGGACCCCAATATTGTATCCCCTGCCATGAAAAATTACCACAATTCTGAAATGTCACCACCACACTAGCATTGAACTAAGGGGGAATAAATCAAGAAAGAATGAAGAAATTCATCATTAACAAGCTACAGAGAGAGAAAAACAATCACATTTGATCGAGCTGCTTATTGACTTCCTCCACCTCCTCCAGATCGGTTAGCAGCTGGCGCACGATAGCCCCATATGTGAGGGTAAACAGCTCCGCGTTCTCAAGTAGAGTCACATAAAACATGATTAAAGCCGCGACACACGATTGGTAACATCAATGAATTAAACTGAATGATAAAAGTTTCGGATGAAAGGGAAAACATAGATAGTTTCGGTTTCTCGACCAAAAACACTTACCACGCGATCAATGCTGGCGAAAATCGCATCCCCGGATTTCGGAGCGGCTGGAGCCATGAGATTGTAGATGGATTCAGATCCCTAATAAGATGAGTGTCTCGATGCAGATCGAGTACTATGAGTTGGGACTGATAGTGCAGTCTGAAATAAAACTGCACAAGTTTTTATTTTTTAATTTTTAAGAAAAACAACTCGGGATTAAGGTTTGATTCTCATGTATATAATTGAGCCGACAAAATCAAAGGTCATACAAAGGTCTGAACAAATACGAAAAAGGTAAAAAAAAAATCAAGGCGAAAAGTCTGAACCTGAGCTAACACATGCTCGAGTGTAAAAAAAAATGTCTACATGAATTTGAAATAGGGGTAGTCTAACTGGTACATCCGCACTAATATACGTAGGCGGAGTGGGACGTCGTCAATCTGGAGTGTGCGCCTCTCTTTAATGGTGCTCCAAATCTGGCTAGGAAATCAGCAGGTCGGTTTCCCTCACGAAACATATGTCCGGTAACAAACTGAACGAAGTGTGGATCAGATGCGCATGAGTCTGTGCCGAATGCCATGAGCCCTGGTGGCCCAAGGTCAAGAGGGTGGAGACAGAGCAATATCCAACTCAATCCAAATGTGAGTAGAGATAGAGGCTACAATCTGAAGACTGATCGGGAGTGCTTGAACATCTGCATCGCAGCTCCAGGAGACCTAAAGAGAAGTGTGGAAGGCGGCAATGAGAGCTCCACTGTGGTCCTTAATTAGGCCACCACCTCGACGGCTCTGGTGGGTCGGTCGAAAGATCCGTCGGTGTTTAATTAACCCAACGGAGTCGGGTCTCAGCCAAACAACAGCCCTGGGGCGTGGGTGCTTCACAGGCGGCAGCGGTGTCGGCACGAAGCGGTGGGACGGTGTGCAGCCTGGCCAGTATCTTTGCGTGAGTCAGCCTAAAGCTGTGAGGAAAGAGATATGATGGTCAACCTGCAAAACAATGTGAGAGCACATAAAAGTAAGAGGAAATAACTATTTTCACCGCACATTAAAGACGAAATAAATTTTACACACCACTAAATAATAGGTTAACTTTTTTTCACCCCATAAAGTACAAATAAATTATACGATAAGCTATGCGACAGACATGCGAAAATAATTGATAAAGTACAAAACAATTATGCGATACGCTATGCGAATTACAGACAAAGATAACTGGAAAAGTGTGAAACAGTTATGCGATAAACTATACGACAAACAGAAAAACATAATTAATAAAGCACGAAATAACAATGTAATAAACTATGCGACAGACAAGCGAATATAATTTCTCTGAAAAGATATGTGATATACCAAGATAATTGATATAGTGTGAAAAATTTATACGATAAAGTATTGATAAAGGGCGAAACAATTATGCGATAAAATATGCAAAAGGCAGACAAAGATAATTGATGCAAACAGCTATGCGAAAACATTATGCGATAGACAGACGAAGATAATTGATAAAGTGAGAAAACATTATGTGAAAATATATGTGATAGACAAACGAAAATAATTGATAAATTAAAAAATATTAAATATTTTTTTGCAACCTATACTATACGTGTTTTTCGGATTTTCAACCTCAAGTATTTTT